CTTCAGCTCCTGGGTCGTCCTCCTCCTGCTTTTCGCTGCCATGCTCCTGGCCGCGTTCGTCCTTCTGCTGCGCCAGGCGTGCTCTGCTAAGTCGCCGAGCGTCATCTAAGGGCAGGCTGGGGGCAACTGCCCCAGCCCCCAACGCCCCCCATCCCCAGATCACCCTGTCCCTCACCCCACCTGCAACATCTCTGTGCCTAATGCAGCCTGGGAGCACGACTTTAGAGCCCACGCCCACAGGGGGTTAGGATGGGTGACTACTGTCACCTCCTGCCCACTCCAGCCTTCACTTCCCCTCAAGGCCTTGTGCTCCAACTCCTCTTTCTGGGGGTGAGGGATTCAGACATCCCTCAGCCCTCAACCTGTGACTGCAGGGTTTGGTGTTAGGGGAGTGGAGACTTTATTCTGATAATCAGGGTCCTCAGGGTGCCCCCCACCTCCAGTCTTGGGTATTAGTGGGGAGAGTCCCCAGGCTGGGAACGAGCCCAGTGCCTATTTGTAAAACTTTTGTAATAAAAAGTTTTTCATAGAGCAGTGGAGAGAATGTTTGTGGGGTGGGGCCTCTCTGCTGTTACCTGCCCTCCCTCCCTACAGCTGTGCTGACCACACAGGGCCCCTTCTGGTCCCAAGGGTGGGCCTGGGCTGTTTCCACTTCCTCTCCAGGCCCAAAGCTGGGGTGGTGCCGACTCCAGTCCCTTGCCCCAACACTGCGGCCTGGAGTAGCTGCCAGCTGGCTGGCCCAGAGACAGTCCCTGAGTCCCCTGAGTTCTCTGGAGCATGGGCAGGTCTGCATCAGGGACCTGGGCCAGACTGGAGGCTGGGCCTAGCCTAGAGTTGGCCTGGGGTGGAGGTGGCAGACAGGGGAGTTAATGGGCAAGGCGAGTGACTAGGATGCAGACAGTGCCCAAGACACTGGGGAAGGGGTCAAACCCTCAACAGGAGGTGGGGGGTGATGTTGAGATCAGAGTGTCATTGCTCAGAGGGATGAACCCTGCGAAGGCCATGGCTCTAGAGCCAAGCTGCACAATCACACCAGACAGCGCTCACCTCCTGCCTGGCTGCTGTATTCTGCTTCCCCAAGAGACATCAGCCAGCCCCATCAGCTGTTTCTGCCCCCGCCCCTCACCCTAAGTTCTGTTTTCTCCAGCGTGGGAAAGCGTGGTCTTGGCTGCATCTCCCCACCACCACCCCTTTCTGGGAAGTGAGCTCAGACACTATTTCTGTCTGGTCAGTGCCTTGTGGGAGAGGATGGCAGTCTTAGTTTTGCTCATCACCGCCCCCCCACCCACAGAGACACACACACACACACACACACACACACACACTTATGCCGGCTTCTGAGTCATTTCACAAATCTGAGGGCAGCCAGCCCCATCTTTGGAGTTCTGAGACACAAAGGGCTGAGAGCGAGCAGAGGGCTGTGGGGGCCCGCCCTTCTCTCAATGACGTGAGCCTGGGAGGTTTCTAGGTGGGTGTGCTCTCAGGAGGCAGCAGGTCGGGCGGAAGGAGGTTCATCCCAGTGCTTGCTGTAGTGGGGCACCCCAGAGCTAAAAGGCTATCATCTGGGCACCGTGGACAGCTCCCAGCTGTCTGTCAGCAGCAGCTCCGGGTCACTCTTGCCCCCTGGTGGCCTCGCTGACAGCGACCGCCCCACTCCAACTGTACTGGCCAACGGCTCCGGCCTAGTTCTGTGCGTGTTGTTTGCTTTTCCCGGGTGTCTCTGAGTGCCCGGTGGGTCTTGGGCACACTTGTGCATCCCTGTGCGCCTGTCCATCTGTATGCGCCGGTGTCCCTCTGTTCCTGGGAGAATGTGCCTCCAGGCCCAGGCCGGTCCTCTGCTCCAGGGGTGGGAGGGTGGGGGTGGGGTGGGGGGAGGGTTAGCAGCCCGAGACACAAGGGGCCCGAGAGAAGCGCACCCCGGCGAAGCCCATTCCCAGCCCATCCCTAGCCTAGAGAAGGCCCCCGACTGCAGAAGCCGCAGAGGCTGAGGCACCCGGAGGCCTGAGTAGGTGGGTTGAGGAGATCTGAACTGGGAGGGGGGGAGGGGCGCAGCCTGACGACGCCGTCCCGCCCCGCAGGTGGAGCGCGCAGGCGCAC